TAGATGTTCCTCATGTGACCACTTCCTGATTTGGAGGACAGGTGTTGTGATTTTCACCCCTGAGATTTCTACCTCTGCCACAAATACAGTGGAAAGTAGCTGGTGGGTTCTAAAGTTGCTGGGAAGATATCTGAGAGATTAGATATGGGAGAGAATTAGTCCACCATTTTATTTACTTGTTTGTATTTAGTGAAAATATATAATCTACTTTGCAGCAAAAGTGGATCCTAGGGAGAAACCTCTTATCTTCTGAGTTCAGGATGAACTTTGAGTTTGTCAGTCATATATTCACATCTTTAACCCTCTTCCTCTTCCTTTCTCCCAACCCTTCATGCATGAGGGATGTTTTAACAATGGGCCTCAGAGAAATATCTGTGGACAAGTGGGTGATATTCACTGAATGGGAAAGAAGGGGGCATGGATGAATCCATTCATGTGTTGCTCATCCAGTACAAGTTTCCTGAGGAACAGCATCCTTCAAACAGGAAGGATCCCTGGGCCTTTGACAGCATTATCCAAGCCCAAGAAGGGCTGAATAGTAAAAGAGGAAGAGGAATTAAGAAATACAAGTAAAATAAAAAATAGATGTGGGTAGAAGCAACACTTAGAATGGAGAATTAGAGATGGGATGTGGCTCAGAGATGAAGATACCTAATTTTAGGGGTGTATTTGTGTCTTCACGTGCTCCATGTTTGTATTCCCATCAGCAGAGATTAGTCAGTGAACACAGCCCAGGGAGACATTCAGCTCATCCTAAAGCCCATTTTTGGCATAGGGAAGGGTTCTCCAAGCTCCATGGACTGTTGGCCTGTCCACATTGACTGCCACAAGGACACAGTCACCCTGAAGATGGGGTGAGACACTAACACAGGTGTCAGAGGGGGAGAAACACATCCTGGAGGCTGTTGCAGTCAGCAGTTATCTTGGAAGAGAAATGGTTTTTTCCATCACTACAGTGGGATTATCTGAATGGGAGATGTCGGACTGAGCTGGCGTGCAGCTGCCCTCATCCTGTACACGAAGGGATCATGTCCCTGAGGACAGCAGATGACCTGCAGCCCAGCATCCCTGTCCAAGCATCCTCTGATGACATGTGCATGCCCGTACTGAAGCTTTCCTGAGCCTCTGGACTCAGTCCAGCTGCTTATCTTCCTAAAAGTGAAAGCCGAATATCTCCATGCCCATTTGTCAAATTTGGTTGAAGCTGATTAAGATGTTCAGAGCTATTATGGGAAGGGATTGACTGGCAGTACCCTGACACAGAGTTCATTTCCCTCATAAACCAGGCTGAAAATGAGTAACAGCCCAAAAGTGGTTGAGTGGAACAGGATGTGCAACTTAGAGGTCCCATCACCTCAGAAGTCCCAAAATTAAGACAAGGGCTTGGATTAACCTGATCCAGTGGAAGGTGTCCCTGACCAAGGCAAGGTGTTGGATCAAGATGAGCTTTAAGGTCCTCCCAACCCAAACCACTCTGTTTTCCAAGGAAAATTCACCCCTTTGCAGAGGGCTTGGATCACCACTGCTAGGATAGCTCCTGGCTTATATTGGAGTTTTAAGGATCTAAACACTGCTTTGGACTCTCATAGCAACCTTCCAGTATCTGAAGGAGCTGTGGAAAAGCTGGAGAGGGAATCTTCATCAAGAACTGGAGTGATAGGACAAGGAGTAATGGGGATAAATTGAAAGAGGGGAAATTTAGCGTAGATATGAGGATGGAACAGGCTGCCCAGATGCCCCAACCCTGGCAGTGTTCAAAGACAGATTGGATGAGGCCTTGAGCAACCTGGTCTGGTGGAAGGTGTCCCTGCCCAGGGCAAGGGGTTGGATGGTCTCTAAGGTCCTCTCCAACTCGTTAACATCCTATGATTCTATGACTATGTCTGAGCACACCCCCTGTAAGGTACCAACACATTTGGGGTTCTCCATCCCCATTCTCAGATGAATGGTGATTTTTAGAGAGAAAATGAAATGCTTTGCTTAAAAACTGACAATATGTTGGTGCTGTGTTGGGACGAACTAGAAAAAGCAAGAGAAGGAGGTTGTGGATGAGAACCAGAACACATCCAACGCTAAAAATCTTTGAAGTGTGTTTGGTTTTATTTCCTCCAGAATATTGCAGCTCTGTCCAAAAGAAGTAAAAGATGGTGTTAGTTTTTCCTACTAATTCAGGAATTCACTATCAGCTAATAAGCCCTAGCTCACAATACCTGATAAACTGTGCATTTCCTGCTCTGCTTGAGTTACCATCTATGCCAGTTTTATCTTAATTATTTACCTGATTATCTTAATTAGTTATCTGTTGGATCCCTTATGGAATTAAGAAACTTATTGTGCATAATTTGGTGCAGTATAGGTGGAATCATGCAATTCTCTACTTACAGCCATGGCTAAGGGGGTGCCCAGGGCTGACTGGTTTTAATAGACCACATTTCGTTTGAATATCTCATAATTTCTCAACAGGCTTTAGATGAGGTAAAAAGTGAGCTGTTGGGAGCCAATTTCTCTGTAAACCTGAGTGGATGGAGGCAAAAGTCCTTCCATATAGACCTTGTTGAGCAATGCAGGATTTCATTCCCATATCTTCATTACTCTCCTGTTACTTTAATTCCTGAACCTCTTTTCTTTTTGCTCTTCAGAAATGAGTTCAGACCCTGGATAGACGTCAAGCCTGCAAAGGCTATAAAAGCAAAGCCGCAGTACAAGCCACCAGAGGAGAAAATGACCCATGAAACCAGTTACAGTGCTCAGTTCAAGGGAGAAACCAGTAAGCCTTCTCCAGCTGATAACAAATACCTGGAACGCAGAAGGATACGCACTCTCTACAGTGAACCCTACAAAGAACCTCCAAAGGTGAGAAACGCCGTGGAAGGGACCTGGGGCCATTGCTGGTCCTGGTGGGATGTGTCCAACAGAGCAGATGGTGGAATGAAAAGCTAAACATGATCTGGTCATGGCAGCCCAGAAATCCAGTGGGGTCCTGGGCTGATCCCTGCAGCATGGGCAGCAGGTGAAGGGGGGAATCCTGCCTCTCTGCTCCACTCTGGTGAGACCCACCTGCAGTGCTGCCTCCAGCTCTGGGATCCTCAGCACAGGAAGAACAATGATCTGTTGGAATGAGTCAAGAGAAGGCTCCAAGGGGTGGATCACCTCTGCTCTGGAGACAGGCTGAGAGAGCTGGGAGTGTTCAGCCTGGAGAAGAGAAGGGTCTGGGGAGACCTTAGAGCCCCCTCCAGTGACTAAAAGAGCTCCAAGAGAGCTGCAGAGAGACTTCCTGGAGGGACAGGACAAGGGGGAATGGCTTTCCACTGCCAGAGGGCAGGGTTAGATGGATATCGGGAAGAAAATTTTGGCTGTGAGGGTGGTGAGGCACTGGCACAGGTTGCCCAGAGAAGCTGTAGCTGCTTCATCCCTGGAAGTGGTCCAGGCCAGTTTGGATGGGGCCTGGAGCAACCTGGTCTAGTGGAAGGTGTCCCTGCCCATGGCAGGGGGATTGGAACAAGATTATCTTTAAGTTCCAACCCAAACCATTGTATGATTCTGTGGGCTCTAGAACAGCTTGATGCCTTTTGGAGACAACAGTGCCCTGTGTCAAACTGTAAAGAAGTGAGGATAGGGCCCAGATGAAGAGGTTTCTGTGTTGTCATTTCCCATGTGGTTATCTGTACAGCTTTCTCTTTCTCCCTTCAAGACTAGTGGAACCCCACGTTACAATTTATCCCAGAACAACATGGTCAGAGCCAGATATTCATCTGCAGTTAATTCAGAGCACTCCACAGTTTCTGAGAGTATATAGTTTGGCTTTGATTACATCAAAGATTTGTGTCAAGAAGGGCCTGAGCTGAATTGTCTTTCAGCCCTGTTTTCTAGGAACAGCAGAGGATTTGCAGGTAAAAGGAGTGAGTCTGCAGTTTTAAACCCAGGTCCTTTAGTCCTTCCCAGAGTGCTTAGATCTGTGACATCTCGGAGGGATGGCAAGGAGAAGCTGAAGGCTTCTGTTCCTCCTTGATTTTGTAGCTGTCCTTTCTGTTTTGAGGGCTGTGGAAACAAGACCCTGTTGTGGACTTTGCTCAGTGTCCTGCACCACAAGTATCCCCAAGTAATTTTCCTCTGAGGTGGGAATCTGTTAAGGACAAACAGAGGAGTCACAGAACTCCTGTAAGAAAGGTTGGGATTTTGAGCAGCCTCTTTGTCCTGAGCAGCATTTCTCTGCTTCCAATCCAGAGAGGGACAATCCCCCGTGGCTTGCAAAGCCCCTCGTGAAGTCAGAGAAAGATGCAGGAATTGATTAAATGACTGACAATATTCCCTCTCTTACTCACCCTGCTGTGTCCTGATCTGGATACAATGGGCTCTGCTGGCTCCAGGAGCACTGTGACTTCAGGGCATCGTGAAAGGAGCTGGCCATTTACCACTCAGCATGAGCCCAGCTGCTCTCCTCCCATCGTGGCAGGGCAGAGCTGAGCAGATGAGTAACATTTGTGCTGTTTCTGATCTAAATCCTGTTTTCCACCTGTCCTTGTGTCTCTTTCTCTGTCTCTCTCTCCCCATCTCTGTGTTGTTTCGCCTGTCACCCTCCATGCAGGTGGAAAAGCCTAGCATAAAGCCTTCCAAACCAAAAAAGACCACAACAAGCCATAAACCCCTGAAAAAGGCCAAAGACAAGCAGATTGCATCTGGCCGGGCTGCCAAGAAAAAGAGCACCGAGACCTCCAACACAGCAAAGCCAGAGGACAAGGAGAAAAGTAAAGAGATGAACAATAAACTGGCTGAGGCAAAAGAGTAAATGTCACTGCACTTTCCTTTCTTTCTTATTTTTGTTCCCTTTTCTTGCTTTCTTCCTTTTTTTTCTTTCCTTTGATTAAATAAAGGCCACAAAATTAATTAGAGGCTTCTAATCTGCTTTTTGTTCTGATTGTATTAGAAGCTTTTCTGTTTTATTTCCAAGGAGGATTAGAGAATCCTTGTTTCTGAGGTCAGGTTGTTCTGCTTTGCCTGCACAACACGGCTCTGCACAGAGTGAGGGATGTGGGAATGCACGAGTCGGGTAGTAGGAGATAAGGGTCATGGATTAACAACATCCAACAACCTGTCCCTTTTCTTGGGCTTGGTCCTTCAGCGCTTTGACAGCGTGGAAGTGCCCGCTCAGCCATGGAGGGGCTGTGCTCTCACCCCCCATGAGGCCATTGTTGGGTCATCTCCCACTGGTGTCAGCAGGTTTTGGAGGCAGAGAGGAGCAGGTTCATTCATGGTGCTGTGAATCTGCTGTAAATCCACCATAATCAGTGGTGTGGCCATGAGTGATTTCCCCTGGTGACACCGGTGGGACTTATGCTCCAAGAAGCAATGGGAAAGGAGATCCTGTGGAAATAAAGGGCCAAATCTTTCCCCAGTATAGCTGGGGTAGGTCTAGCTGCATCAAGGCAGCTTCACCCATCAGCACCACTTGAAGTCCTTGATTTAAAAGACAAAAAAATGAGTGAGGGAAGGCGCAGAGAGCAGTGAAGACTTTCCAAGCACGTGGCAAGTTAGACTAAGTTATCAGCAGATTGTTCTTCCCTATTGTTTCCCCTAGGTTATGGATCTTTTTAGTTATCCCTGATTTGGCTTGAGTCTTGGACTGCTTTCACTTCTGGGGTGCCAGTAGACAGAGCTAGGTGTCAGAAAGAGGTTTAATTTGCAGGCATGACCTTCCAAGGGGTAGAAAGAAATGTGTCACCGAGGTTAGCTAGAGCCTCAGTCCCTGTTGTGTTGATTCTTCCAGCTGTTGGCACTCATACTAGCTCATAAGCATCTCAAGAGGGCCATCAGAAAAGTTGCTGGGATCCCTAGACTCCCTCCAGACAAGATCTCAGGGTTTCAATCCTATTTACTGTGCTCTTACTCTAGGAAATCCCCACACCCAGCATGACCAGTTTGGAAGCTCTAAACACAGCAGGACCATTTGTCAGCAAGTGTGAGCTGGCCCAACAGACTGGCCCCAGAATCTGGGTCATTGAATCAATGGGAGCTGGGAGCATTGTGGTCCCAATCCAAATTTATGTGCCTAACCTCTGGATTGGGCCCTAAATACATGAGGATTAATCTTGATCCCACCAAACGGAGCTGTTAAGCTCTCCTGCAGCAGAGTCACTGCAAGGCAGGATGCAGAGTTCTTCTTATTTATTTTTGCAGCTCCAAAATTGCTCTCCTAACATGAAGAGCAGCTTGAAACTTTCAAAGGACAATTGGGAAGAACAAAGAGAGAGAGATGGGAAGTAGGGTAGAGAGGTGTAGAGGAAAGTCTTACTGTTAAGGGTGTTTTAGAGAGGTGAAACTAACAAAAAAGGATGTGTTAGTGGGGGAGGAGTCCTGTTTTGGTGATCTCACCCCATTAGAGTTGGGAATAGAAATGAGTGGTGGGCTACAAGGCTGAGAGAGAGTTTCCAAAGAGGAGGAAAGCTCTGTGGTATACAGATAGTGATGTTTGCTGGCCTTAGTCACGAATAAATGCCAAGTTCAGTGTATTGTGTGATGTGTCCTGTTTGCCTTGCTCTACCAGCCTAAACCTTTGAGTATCAGTAAGTGTAGTGTTCTGAATTCAGTGGTGTATTTCCAAGCTTAGCTGTGTTAGAACTGTGTGCTCTGAGCTAGTCAGGTTGTGTATGTGGAAAATATATATTCAGATATAGAAATATATATATATATTTAAACCTCCAATGTTTAGGAGGAAACCAGGGAAAATCCTCCAGGAAGTAAAACTGTGGAAATCTTTGTGAATGTAGTGCTTTTTTTCTTTTGATGTGCATGCCTCATGGAGATGCTGACCTGTCCATATTGCCCATTGCTTTTCTGAGTGCTCAGAAGCCCCTGCAGGACTGCTCAGCTCTGTCTCCAAAGCAGCTCAGCAAAAGGTTGAGCTGGTGGACAGGAGTGCTGCTCACAGCTCTTCCCCCCCTATCACACAATGGACAACTGGCCAGAGAAGATGAGCTCCCAAGACTTGGTGTGATTCCTTGGCATTTAGATAATTCATGCATCTTCACACTCCTCAGTCACATCCTTTCCTGTCACAGGATGTAGCCACAGCTGTGAAGATGACATGTCACAGTAGGCAGAACAGGTCAGGAAGGCACTAGACAGTTACCAACAGCCCAACAGACCAATCTTCCATAAGGAAAGACCATGCCAAACAATTCTCCCTGGTATTTTTTGGCCCTGAGTTTCACATTGAAAGAGACACCACACTTGCCACCATTTCACCTTGAATTCAATGGCAATTTAGCTCTTGACTTCAAGGTTAACTACATTTTGCCCAAGGAAGATCATAAAGATGTTCAGATCACTTAATCCAAGCATCTCCATGACTCTGGATCAACTGATGTTCCTCCAGGGCTTCAGGATTGCTTCTTCTCAATGAAGAGCATCTGTTACATAGAATCATCAAGGCTGGAGGAGACCTCTAAGATCATCAAGTCTATCACAGTGTTTGAATGAAGCATGGACAGTGAGTGGTCACAATATGTCTTATGTGTCCTTACTACTTGAAGTTTTTTTGGTGGCAGGTGGCTTGAAACTAGATGATCTTTAAGGTCCCTTCCAACTCAAACCATTCCTTGAGCTCACTACAGAGCTAGATATGAAGTGCTAGCCAGTGGTCTAAATTCCCACTCTAGTGAAGGAACTTTCCAAGTGCCATTTTGAACACCTCTCTTTGGGTGGGATGAATGATTCTTAGAAGGTTTTCTTTGCAGAAAGAGCCTGGAAGACTGGTAGGGCCTGGAGACCTCCCTCTCAGGCAGGAAGAAAATAGGGATAGAAATCCTGGCCTGTGCTCCATGTGCACCAGGTCCTCAGCATGCATCCAAGCACACACATACACCCAAGCACAGAGTCTAGCACTGCACTGAATGCCAGGAAATGCAGCAGAATCAAGCCTCAGGGTGAAATCCTGCGTTGCTTTACAATCCACAGATTCTAGGCCCATCTGACCCACTCAGGTTTATCAGAAAGGAGACCAAATCTCAAGTTCACTTTGGGCTCTGAGCTTGTCAATCCCACTGAAAAACAGTGCTCCGCTGTCGTGTGTTTCCAGCTCCCACAATGCTGATCCTGTTCCACCGCTGATTTGTAATATGTTTTGCTTTCCTTGTAAAAAGAAAGAAGAAAAACAAAAGAACTGTTTTGCTTTTTACCCTGTGAGAATTCCTGTACTGTCTGTTGCTTGCTTTTGCCTTTTCACTGTATTGTACTCTTACTCCTTTCTGCAAAATGGTGCTAATTGCTGACTTGAGCTCCTGTTTCCTGACTGCTTCGCACACCAACCACCTGCTTCTTCATTTGCAACGCTCCTGGCATCAAATCCTGGCGCCCATGAACCCCACCAACCTCTTGGAGGCAGATAGGAAGTGTCTAATTAATCTTTTGTGGCCTGGGTTTGGTTGCATATCACCAATTGTCTCTTGTAAACATGTTAAGCACACCTCCTTGTGGTGCTTGTTGTTCTGATGAGAGTAACACACACACACACACACACACACAAATTAATGTATAGCCAATTGATTGTGACGTGCTTGTGATCTTTGCTTGCTCAAAGGGGTTTTTTTTCCAATGATAAATAAATGCTAAAGACAAATACCACCTCCTTGATCTTGTTTTCTCAATAAGAAGCACAGCTGAGCAAAAGAAAAGCCCTTCCAACTGAAATCAGGCTTGTGTTGCTTAGAGTTGCCACTTCCAGCCATGGCTGCAAACCTCAGACTAGCCTGGTGTGAGCACTAAGCATTTGCCAATGTGAAGATGGACAGTGAAGTCATGTGGATGGAGCAGGTTTGCTTTTATTTTCTATATAAAGTGTATTTGAGCAGAGGATCTGTGCAGGGAGAGCCCTGCTGTGCCTTGCTTGTGTCCACCTTGCACTGGCTCAGGGAGCAGAGACTGAACCCCCCACCAAGAGCTGGAGGGAGGGAAGGAAGGTGATGTGGATGAGGTGACTCCCTTTCCCAATGTTAATTACACTTTTCCAACTGCCTACAGCTTTTGTTTTCTCCCAAAACCAAACCTGACCAACCAGGTGTCCCTGCCCATGGCAGGGGTTTGGAACTACAGGAGCCTTCAAAACTAAACCTTTATTATTCTGTGAAAACCACCTAAAAGGCCCTTGAGAGGAGTCATGGGGCTACAAATCCTCATTGAAATGAGGTGGTAAGTTCTTGGGTTTCAGTGCTCTCCAAGCCCAGCCACTGCTGAACAGGAACTTGGCAGAGTTTGTGGAAGTGCGAAGTACTGATTTTATATTAATGAATGTGTTGGCCGTCTGGAGAAAGTGATGGTTGAGAAGATAGCAGGGCTGAGGGTACAGTTTTATTTTACATGTCATAGCTTCATCTCTTTTTTTCTTCTAACTAGCCTCTAAGCTCCCACCTGCAATTCTAGTTTTTAATCACATTTTCTCTTTTAATGGATATTCCAATAAAATCCCCACCAGCCTGAGGAAAACTGTGGTATTTTTGAGCAACCTGGTCTAGTGGGAATTGTCCCTGCCCATGGCAGGAGGTTGGAACTAGATGATCTTTAAGGTCCCTTCAAACCCGAACAATTCTGTGATTCTATGATTTTGAAATCTCTCCCCCACCATAGCTCTGATGACCTCCATGGAGCACCAACCCTTTTCATGCCTTACTGCTGCTGGGTGCTATTTCTCATCCCTGCCTGGTTTAGAACTCACTTTCTGAATTGATTCCATCTGTGACCACATGCTGATAACAGTGCTGCTTTCTGATGCCCTGCTGTGTCACCTGCCT